AAGAAGGAACACGAGAAGCTGAAGAAATACCAAGGGCTCAGAGAAGAGCTCGAGAGGATGTGGAGATTAATTGTAAATAATGTTACAGGTTTTTCCTGTTGTTTTCAAAGACAATGTGCCACATTACAGTACATTAATATATTTTCAACATATTAGTAGTGTAAAAATAAAAGCAAATCACTGTTTTTCAATTTACAGAAATGTAATGTCCATATTACAATCAATTACTTTTTTGATTCAATGGTAATTTACTGTTGCCATTTTACAGTTATTAACTGTAATTCTTATGTACATTTCTTAGAGTGTAGGGATCAAATGATTGTTTGGGTTTTCTCTATTGTACTATTGAAGGGCGACTGTTCTTTTGATTTGGTGCTGTATAAAGTAATATAAAGTAGTTGTAATACAGAAGTAAATTGAACTGAATTTGTTAGGCTGAACGAGTGGACACAGAGGCGTAGGAAGTGCAAAAGGTGCTCTTTATTTACAATGCCCGGAGTATTTACATACAGTGGCTTGCAAAAGTATTCGGCCCCCTTGAACTTTCCCACATTTTGTCACATTACAGCCACAAACATGAATCAATTTTATTGGAATTCCACGTAAAAGACGAACACAAAGTGATGCACACGTGAGAAGTGGAACGAAAATCCTACATGATTCCAAACATTTTTTACAAATAAATAACTGAAAAGTGGGGGTGTGCGTAATTATTCAGCCCCCTGAGTCAATACTTTGTAGAACCACTTGAATCTGCATCATAATCTTCTCCCTGGTCACATGGTGAGATATCCATGAGATGCCTTTTCTTTAGTTTCGTCCTTTATAAGAAAACAAAAATAGTTATATTACAGGAGTCCTAAACAAAATGTGTTGTGCTAGGTGTTTTTAAATCAAAAACGGCAAAACTTGCCTCTTTGTGAACATGAGCCCGCAACTGTTTCCTCCTCATAAAATTTTCAGGCCCTGGAAGCAGGTCCCTTAAATCGTCCCTACTGAGGGTGTGGAGCAAGACCTCATCTATGTTGGCAGCTGTATAAAAGTCAGTAACTTTCAGAAATTTAAAGTTGTACATCTCTTTAAATGTATACATTTCACTGTTCAAAAAGGAAACAATTCAAGTCATTTTGTCAAATACATTTAAAAGTAATTTAAAAAATTGTATTGATTTGACAACATAAACCTGATTCTATGTAGGATCACTGTCAGTGTGTGCAACACAAAATTCATTTAGACATTAATTTGCATAAATATGCATATGCTTGGCCTACCATTTAGAACCGAAAGGTTGCAATCATCCAAACCCTCCATGATTTTCTGGTGTAGCCTTTGTCAGAACTTTTCCCTGAGGACAGAAAAACATACATGGTCGGGTCAAAAAGAAAAACTGAGTCAAGACACCACCTGCCATGGATCCAAAGTCTATGCAATCAGACACCTGGATAAGGTGCAAAAGACAGACCAAGTAGAGCCCGTGTTAATTCCATGGTTAAGTCTTATAAAATTGCTCACTTAAAATTTATGACAAGGCTATTTCAAACTAGTTTTCAAACTGAAACTAATAGTGCCCACCTGCTTGTCAAATCATTCAACAAATGATCAAAGCTCAGATTAGACCATTTCATCCATAAGAAAAATGTTACCTCAGTTCAGCAAGGTTAAAGTGACCTGATTTATATTAATAGTTTACAACATAAATAATTGGAAGTAGGTTCACATCTCCAACTTACAATAGTTTAAATGATTAATCATAATCTGTCAGAAATGAAGCTTAAAGTAAATCTATAGGTAAAGATGTCTTTCAAAAATGTGCATTTGGTTTATTCCATCCCCGTGCATTATTTTATTCCCTTGTGTTATCTTTAATTTCATTACCCAAACTGGACTTGCAAATAAAATTTGAATAAATTCATGTTGGTTAAATGTAATTTTGATCATAAGACGGTTAACTCGTGATGACTTGATGACTTAAGTGTCTGTTAGGGCAGAGCAAGGATGAAACTGTCAAAGTTGAAGAAAGAACAATGTTGTGTTGAATTCGGTTAGAACAGGTTCTGGACTGAGGACATGCTGAGACAGGCTCTGTTCGGAAGGGAAGGGGTTACCAGATGACAGGGAAAGTACAGCTGAAGTGGTGATGGAAACTGCCACTGTCAGGGTGCTGGGTCATTGGCCCAGCATTTTGAGTTTATTTTGTATTTATGATTCCCCTTTGCTGCTTTTTGGAGACGTTTAAATGTAGTGTAAAGCGCTTTGGGGTCCATAGGGACTAAGTAAAGCGCTATACAAATACAGGCCATTTACCATTTAAGCTCCGTTTTTTACAGTTAGTGTTGAGTTTAGAGAGAAACAATCTTAGGGTGGCATGGAAATCAAATGGGGTGTCAATGTCACGGCTGTGGCAGCAGTCGTGCGCTATCTGAGAGTATGAACCCAAGATGCTTGCACAGGCTGTGATGCCAGTGAGCTTTATTTACAGGAGTGGCAAAAACAGGAAATGCAGAACGGGGAGCTACCAAAACCTAGACCGGGGAAAACTTATGAAGTCACCTGAAAACCATAAGGACACGGGATGATGAGCAGGGATGGCACAGAAAATGTAGAGCAGAGAGCTGACGATTTTTGTACAACCTTTTAAAACTATGAAAACTAAAATGAGAGACCAATCAGGTGTCACAATATTTATTTGTGCGAGTGCAAAAAATAGTTTGTCCGCACAAAAGAGAGAGAAGAACACCACCTGCAGATAAAACCTGCAGGCCTGACAGGAGGTGTATCACTCATCCTGTTTCCCACCTGGAGACAGTGTTTACATTGCAGTCTGCCTTTGGTGGCTTTTTGGCAGCAGCTGTTACATTCACTATAGTACCCTCACTGACACACAGAACAAAACAAGGCCCACACAACACACTAACTACACACTCCAAACACGCTAAACACCACAAATCGCTCACCTCTCAAAACTCTCTCTCACTGTCGTCACTCCCAAAACTTTCTCCTCTTCCTAAACAACCAAATCCCACGTGTTGCCACTTTTTTTATTGGTTGACATATGGAAATGGGTCCTGACTTCCCACCGTTTTGACATATTCAAACAGTCTTTATGCTTTGCGGTGCATTTAATTTGTTGTTTGAGGCATCAGCATGTTGACGGAAGACGGGGAACACACCCACATAGAACCTCTTGTTCACACATTTCTAGAGCATCAAATGTGCATGCACTGAGACTTCAGCATGTTGAAACATGACAGGGTTTTTGTTTTTCATCGAGATACGTGGCCTCGGGTCTTCAGCACTCTTGGGGAGCCGTGGATGGCCACGCATCTGAATCAGTCAAAATCAGCATACTTTATTAACCCCTAATGAAATTATGTGGGTTACAGTTGCTCCAGTATCAATACAGTAACAGAAACAGACAAGATCTTTAACAATACAATATGTTACAGATTTAAGAAATGCAAGAAATAGCAAAATATATACAAATGACTCAATAATAAATATCAAGGATTGACAGAGGTGATTATAAATAAATATCAAGAATGTTGACAGGAATATTACAGAGTAATATGAGG